AGTTTATGGTAAGATAGTCATTGTGGGTGGCAGTGGATCTGGGTAAGTTTATGGTAAGATAGTCATTGTGGATGGCATTGGATCTGGGTAAGTTTATGGTAAGATAGTCATTGTGGATGGCATTGGATCTGGGTAAGTTTAGGGTAAGATAGTGATTGTAGGTGGCAGTGGATCTGGGTAAGTTTATGGTAAGATAGTCATTGTGGATGGCATTGGATCTGGGTAAGTTTAGGGTAAGATAGTGATTGTAGGTGGCAGTGGATCTGGGTAAGTTACTTTCATTGGATTATTAGTTTTTATTCCACTGTAGGGTATCAGCTTTGAAACATACATTTATTTGGAGCTCCACAATAAATGCAAGTAAATATTGGTAGCTCCAGTTTAAGAACAACCACCTACTTGCATCCCCACCACACTACCACCACAGCCACCACCCCCTCCCCTATAAATGCACATTTGTAATACATTATACATTGTATATATATCGGTATATAGTGTTTGTACTTGTCTTGTAGGAAATCAACGATAGTTAGATTATTATATAGATTCTATGATCCAATTGATGGTAGAATATTGATTAATGGGCAGGACATCAGGGATGTGTCTTTAGACAGTCTCAGGTCTGCTATTGGGGTTGTGCCACAGGTATGTAATATTAACTTACTAAACCATAGTGTTGGCAGTAAAATTTGTGTTGCCTCCGATATGTTATGCAAATATAATTTGCATGATGACTGTATACTGTAAAAAAATGTGAATGTTCCAAACACACAGATTTGCAGTACACTGCTCGTTCGTGTTTCCAACTTGCAGCTTAAAAATTCACCTCAAATAAAACTGCCATCATTTTTCAACTAACCTAAGCAAGAAAAAACAAACATGCAAATTATCTTTGGCTATAACTTAATGCTTTCATATTTTTAGCGGGTATTTTAAACAAGATCACAGTCATATTTTCTCAGCGGAACACATGTAGCATCTCTTTTTCACTTCATTTTCTCTGTCCAAATCATCTGTTTCAACTTGTAATCCACTTTTCTCAGGTGTATTATATAGTTCTTCTAGCTGCCCCTTTTGTACCCACCCATGCTCACTTCGCTATCTTTTAAAAACTGTTTGAAATATGCTACTGACTTTTACCGCGGTTGCATGTCTATTGTTCTTTTTTGACTTTTATATTTCTGTCCAACCCTCGCTCGTTGCCTGGTGGGTTATGTATGCGTAAATAGAATTACATCGCATCTTTCGGTTATTCGGGAATTAGTAAATGCCTAGAACAATTTTTCACAGTCGCCCTGAGGTCACATTAGAACAAAAGTATTATCAAAGAAAAGCACATAATCGAATGTGAAACCACAATACGAAAAAAAACATTGAACGTTTGAACGTTAATTGTATGTTCCTCCAATTCAGAACATCAAATATGTTACATAATAGTCCTAAGACTTAACAGGGGCGGATACATGATTTAGTTATGGGGGGGGGGGGGGG